TTGACAGAGACACAGCGAGAGAGGGAACACAAGCAGGGGGAGTGGGAGAGGGAGAAGCAGGCTTCCCGCGGAGCAGGGAGGCTGATGTGGGGCTCGATCCCAGGACCCTGGGATCATGACCTGAGCTGAAGGCAGACGCTTAACGACTGAGCCACCCAGGCGCCCCAACAAAAACCGGTTTTGATCCAGAACTGCTTTAGTTAAATTACATGGGGCATAGTCACAGCTTTTATTTTTATCAAGAGAATGATGGTTGAGAAAATTTTTTGTTGGCGTGCCTATTACATCCATATACGTATCTAAACCTATGAAATGGACTCGTTCCACACTATCTGAGGGCTTTTGCAGGCAGGATGTCCCATAAACAACAGACCTTCCTAAGAAGCAAAGGATTCTTACTTGAGCGCAGAAACTACAGACTAGGAACTAGGAAATGTGTTGTAAATTAATTGGAAAAATTTATGAAAATGCAGTCTGTTGTTAACACTTTGCTCCGTTTATTTTTTGCTTTTGTGCACGTGCTCTCCCTGCCTGCCCCCATCTGTGTACACACACACTCTGTATCATGCTCCCTCCCTCTCTTTCCCTTTTTTTCTTTTTTCTTCTTTCTTTCTCTTCCTTCCCCCCCCCTCTCTTTTTTTAGAGAGGGAGGTGAGGGCAGAAGGGCAGACGGAGAGGGAGAGAGAATCTCAAACAGACTCCCTGCTGAGCACCCAGGCTTAGAGCTCCATATCAGGACCCTGAGATCATGACCCGAGTCGAAACGAAGAGTTAGGCGCTCAACCAACTGAGCCACCCAGGCGCCCCACTCCCTTTTTCTCTCCCTGCCCCCCAACTTACTTATTTTTTTCTGAACCATCTGAAAGGAAGTTAAATACATCATGGTCCTTTGTCCCTAAGTCCACTAAGTAAGGGTATTTCCTTATACACCTGCAGTACAGTTACGAGCCTCAGTAATTTAACATTGATAGGATGCTTTACTGGTCATATCCCTGTGTTAGTATTTGATCTAGTATTATCTGTATCACTTTCCCCCCTCCATTATGAGGCCTAGTCTGTGATAATGTGTTGCATCTAGTTTTCATATCTCTTTAGTCTCTTAGGACAGTGACATTGTTGAGGAACCCTAGCCCCTCCCTGACCACTCTTTTTCAGTAAGATATTTTCCATTTGGGTTTGTCTGATGTTTTTCATGGTGACATTTCAGGCCTGACCGCAATACTGCGCACGTGATGCCGGTACCAGTGTGTGGGGATACACTTTCAGACGGTGCAGATATCCTCCTCTCCAGCAGAACATCTCCCCAGGTGGAGCAGCTGCTGAGGATGTTTGCCTCAACCATCCTTCATGTGAGGATGGCAAAGGAATCATCTGCCAGTTCCATTTCTCTTCCCCGTTAACCAATTCCTAGTTAGTACTTAGCTGTGAGAGCTCTCCGTTCTCCCTCCCTCCCTCCGTCCCTCCCTCCCTCTGTGTCATGTCTTATGGAAACCCATGGATTCCTCTTTCTTCAGTAGTTTAGAATTTGTTAACTGCCTCTTGTTTGGTGCTCAGATACCTGGCCGATGAGAGCCCTCCCCAGCTGGGCCTTTGTCTTTGCAACACACCTCCTCATATCTTGAGCACTTTCCTGCTTTCTCGTATTGCAAGATGTTCCAGGCTCAATTTGTGCCTCCTTTACCCCAGCCCTGGAATCAGCCAGTTCTTTAAGAAGCCCTGTTTTTTTTTAGGGTGTACGGTATTAAAAATTAAGATGTCGACACCAGATGTGCTCACTGCTACTGGGGTTTCTTTGCTCCTAGGCCCTTTCAGTGGATAGTGCATGGATATACACACGTACATCCCCCATACCTGAGGGAACACACATGCATATGCATGTAGGTGCATAAACATGCACATATATACCCATACTTATTTTTTAAATCATGAGCCTAAGCCCTGTCTCCAGTTTCATTTCATCTCCACAGGGTTCTTCCTTGTCTTTACCCACTCTAATATTTGTCTGTCTGGCTTCCAACAACATCAGCGTAATCACTAATTTGCTCAGTACTATAAGGCATCTAAGTATTTTCAGAATTGCTTCACTCATTCAACAACAGAAGCAAACCTCCTAAAGAGCTCAGGATTTGAGTTCTCCCTGAACCCTACTGAAGATTGGGAATACTGGGTTTATAAATGACTCTTTTGCACTTTGCTTTTTTTCATCTTTTTTTTTTTAAGATTTTATTTATTTATTCATGAGAGAGAGAGAGAGAGGCAGAGGGAGAAGCAGGCTCCCAAGGAGCAGGGAGCCCGATGCGGGACTCGATCCCAGGACCCTGGGATCATGACCTGAGCCGAAGGCAGACGCTTAACCATCTGAGGCACCCAGGCACCCTCATCTTTTTTTTTTTTTAACTAAAAAAAATCATTCCCTATCCGTTCTTTGAGATTTTCATTCTTATAACTGCTCAGTACTTCACTGATTGTATGTACCGCAGTTTACTTAACCAATTTCCAGTGTTTAGACATTTAGGCAGTGTTTTGACTTGGCAGTATTTTGTAATTACAGAGAAAGCTACAAGGAATCACCTGTGCAAATATATTTTTGCATTGCTGGAGGTGTGTCTTCAAAGTTCCGAGAACTGTGATTGCAGGTTACAAGAGTAAATGAATACGTAGTTTTGTTAGATATTGCCACATTCCCTTCCATATCAGTGAGTTCGTGGCTTTGCCATGACTCTCTTTGGTTTGAGAGTTATTTGCATATCAGGGACATTAACCTTTTATCTGTGATCTATGCTACAGATATTTTTTCTTGGTTTCTCAGTTGTCTTTTGACTTTGCTCATCTTACTGATTGCCATACAAAAAATTTTTATGAGATCAAATTTGTAAATTTTTTATTGCATCTGGATTGCAAGTCATAGTGAGAAAGCCTTTTTGTGCACCCAGATTTTGGAGGAATTCACCCATGTTTTATTGTAGTACTGTAGAGTTTCATTTTTTACATGTAGATATCTGACCCATTTGGTGTTTATGCTTTCGTACCAAGTGAGGAATGGGTCTAATTTATCCTTTTCCAGTTGTCCCAACACTGTTTCTTAAAAGTTCATCTTTGCCCCAGTAATTTGAGATATGATCTTTACCGTACACTAGATTTCTATATGCAGTTGAGGCTATTTCTGGACTTTGTCTTTCTCGAAGTCCCAACTGAGTTTTTATTAAACATTCACATCTCAGAGGCTACCAGGTTCCAGGATTTACAACACAGAGGAATTTTTAGGGCTGTTCCCCTTTTGTGGTGTAAGAGTGGGTCCTTATTATTTTCCTGCACTTTTTGAATTTTCCCAATTTTCGGAAACCAGACAAAATTATTTTTGTCTTTCAGGAAACTGTTTAAAGGTGGGGCGCCTGGGTGGCTCAGTCGGTTAAGTGTCCAACTCTTGATTTCGGCTCAGGTCATGATCTCAGGGTTGTGAGATGGAGCCCTGCGTCTGCTTGAGATTCTCTCTCTCTTTCTCCCTCTCCCCCTCTGTCCCCCCCAATAAATAAAATACTTTTAAAAAGAGAACTTTTTAAAGGTATTATCAGTTTTTAAACAGTAAACTTGAGCATGAATCTTTAATACCCCCCAAATATTACCACTGGTATCCCCCCTTTTCCTTATATACCCTCAGTAAAAGAGATGTTTCAGAGAAGTGCGTATGATGTACGTGAAGAACAGGACAGGTGGAAGGTCAGCCAGTCGTGAGAGCCCATGTGTTTTGCCTCCTATGGCTGCTAAGGACCACCACGGAAAACAGTTTGTTCTCCTTCTTCACATGAGTGAACAGGTATAAAGTGCAGAGAAGATGTGAGTGCAGGACCCACATGGAGGAACTGGGATAATGGGTAGCCGGAGTTTTTTTATATGTAACATTTTAAGTATTTGCTTCCATAGAAGAGGCTTAAATAGGGGTATGTGCGCATTCACTCTCTTTCTCTCCCCTTCCGCCCCCTCTCTGTACTTGAATGGCCTCCCTTGAGTGGAATGACTTGATTTTTAAATGTTTCTCATAACTTGGGGGCTATAATAAAAAATCTATTTATAAGACCCATTTAGAGGAGACAGGACTCACATTGGCCGTGCGGTCTCTGTTTTTATCAAGTTATATTTCAGGGAACATATTTTCTCAAGGAAAAGTCAGGACATGTAATTTGATTTAATTCAACATGTCACATCCTATAAAGCTTTAAAAGTGAAGCCAGGTTTAATTATAAATTTGACAAGTCACTGTTTTGGAATAGAAGAGAATTCTGTGAAGGTGGGACATGCCCTGTAAGTGTATTCAGATGATGAGCCACGTGATAGCTGACACACTCAAGAATTCTTCTGTTGTGCTGTGTATCCATCAGGCAGTCGTGAAGGTAACAGTGCTGTCTTCCAATTTAGCGCCACCAAGACTATTATCTTATTGTAGCAGCTCTACTATTCTGTTCTGCTCTTCTGCTGTAGTAGCTCCCCGAAAACAGAAACCAGGAATTTTCTTTAAAATTTTGTTCTTCAAGGGGCACCTGGGTGGCTCAGCCGGTTAAGCGTCTGCCTGTGTCTCGGGTCCCGATCCCAGGGTCCTGTGATCGAGCCCCACGTTGTCAGGCTGCCTGCTCAGCGGGGAGTCTACTTCTCCCTCTCCCCTCCCGCCCCTGCTCATGCTCTCTCTCACACACTCTCTCTCTCAAATAAATAAAATCTTTAAAAAAATATTTCATTCTTTGAAGCACTAAGAACAGCTTAGATTCGTATGTGTCTATACACGAGCATAACGTAGAACTTGGCTCTGAATAAGCTTGTCATCACGGGGAAACCTTTAGACTTCAGTTCCTGTATAAGGTCTTTGACTTTCATGTACAGGTGGCAGCTCTTCGTGTTGCTGGCTGCTAGTTAAGTGGTAACAGACTTAAGAGTATTGAGACATTTTATAGGCTGGTGTTCCTGTTAATCTCAACACCTTTCATGTCGTTCCACTGTTTGTGTTTCAGTCTTACAGCGACCAGTGCTGTAGGAAAGAGAAACCTGAGTCCCAGCCCAGCAGAAGCTGACTTGGAGGCCAGAATATCGGGGGATATTTCTGACCCTGAGCTCGAACAGACAGAGTCCTGTGCAGAACCCCTCTCTGAGGGAAGGAAAAAGGCCAAGAAATTAAAAAGAATGAAGAAGGACCTTTCACCAGCAGGTTTGTATAAGATCTTAGTAGAGTTCTGGAGTTATGTACTCTTTAATGCTTTAGAAGCTCATAGTTGCGGGGAGAAGTGATAGCAGGGCTTCGGTTGGTGGCAAAGCCCAGGTATAATAGGCCTCCCCCCCCACCCCCTTATCCACAGTTTCCCATAGTCAACCTTGGCCCGGAAGCAAATGATCCTTCTGACATATGTACGATCGGAAGGTCAGTGGTAGCCTAATGCTAGGTCACCATGCTTATGTCACTCACTTCACTTCATCTCGTCAGGGGGGCATTTTATCATCTCACATCATAAAAGAAGGGTGAGTCCAGGACAGTAAGATTTTTTAAGAGAGAGAAACCCATTCACACGACCTTTATTACAGTCCATTGCTATCATTGTTCTCATTTGTTACTAGCTCTTGATTGGTCTCTTACTGTGCCTCATTTATAAATTAAACTTTATCACAGCTATGGATGTACGGGAAATAACATGGAGTCTATAGGGTTTGGTACTACCGACGTTTCAGGCACGCACTGGGTGCTTTGGACTATGTCCCCTGCAGATGAGGGGGATTGCTGTAGTTTTCCATGGGACCAGATGCTTTTTAGGATCCATTTAATTTGAGGAATCCCTAAAAAGCCCTGTCTCTTGATAGAGGAAGGCTTGGCAGGGGCCTTCTCAGTTAAAGATGGTTACTCCATTTTGGTAATCCCCTCTCTCTCTCCTCTCTGGTTTAGAGGTTTTGCTGATGTGTGTAAGTAGCCTCAGTATCTTAAATGTGCATTTAAATTTGCACAGAGGCCTCCTCCTACACATGTTATTTTCAGTGGCAGAGTTTTCACCGTTCCAGCAAAACGCCAGGCAGCCTAGATTTCTCTCATACGCAGAATTACATAAGGAGGGGCGCCTGGGTGGCTCAGTCATTAAGCGTCTGCCTTAGGCTCAGGTCATGGTCCCAGGGTCCTGGGATCGAGCCCCAAATCGGGCTCCCTGCTCAGCAGGAAGCCTGCTTCTCCCTCTCCCACTCCCCCTGCTTGCATTCCCTTCTCTCGCTGTGTCTCTCTCTGTCAAATAAATAAAAAATCTTTAAAAAAAAAAAAAAAGAATTACATAAGGAGCAAAGGAAACCAGAAGCTAACCGCCTAGTATGTGTGAGGTGCTGTAGTAGGAGCCTTTTCTCTCCTCATTTAATCCCCTTCTTGCCCAAAGCCAAATCCCACGTTCTCTCCGTCACCCGGATGCCGTGGGGGGGTCTGTGAACGGACTACAATGCTGGACTGTGACACGAGGGAGGAGCTCGCTGGTCAGCCAGGCCAGTTGCCTGCTCGGGAGGTCCGGCTGTCCCCTGCTGGGTCCCACGGCTGTCACGGTGACAAGAGTCACAGCCCTCCATGACTGCTGCTTGCTCAGGGCCCGGCGCGGCATCTCATGTTTGGTGGGAGTTCTTTCCTTTAAAGTTCTGAGGTGGTCCTCCAGGTTCATTTCACAGTTAAGAGATTGGAGGCCTGAAGGGTAATGGGACCCGCCCAAGGCCCGGAGTCCTTCAGTTTGTCCTTTACAAGAGAGCCCGTGCTCTCCCCGCATGGTTATGCCACTGACTGTCTGCTTGGGATAGGAGGGCCGTGACCCAGCCTCGAGTGTGCCTGTCTCACATCCTGACGGTCTCCCAGCGAGCAGAACCAACAGTCAAATCAAAGGAAGGTGTAGGAAAACCGTGGAACTTGATTCATACCCAAGCTAAGAATGCACCATGTTTCAAATTAATTCTTCCTTTTACATGTGGCCTGATCTGATGGCGGGGAGTTTTCTGAATCTCATTGATACTAATGAAATCAAAGAAGCAGCAAAAATATTGCATATGTTTTTATATGTTATGCTGAGGCTTAACTTTAACTGAAAACTTAAACTTCCTGTTTGAAGCCAGGATTGTTTCTTTCAGCTTCCTCCTTGAATCCCGCTGTTCTCCTTGACTTGCCTCCCTTCCGTTCCCTAAATTGAGCATTGGAGAGTAGGCTTTATTTATTTATTTATTTATTTATTTATTTATTTATTTATTTATTTGACAGAGAGAGACACAGCGGGAGAGGGAACACAAGCAGGGGGAGTGGGAGAGGGAGAAGCAGGCCTCCCGCTGAGCAGGGAGCCCGATGCGGGACTCGATCCCAGGACCCCGGGATCATGACCTGAGCCAAAGGCAGACACTTAACGACTGAGCCACACAGGCGCCCCGAGAAGCTTTTATTCTGTAACGCCCTTAATCTTCACCTGTGATACCGTTTTATGACTGCTGCGTTGTATCTGCTCAGCGAATGTTCATATTGAAAGTCGGCATGACTTTTAGAGATCACGGCTAGCGTGGTGAGGGGCGGGGTCCCCTCTTGTATTCCTTTCCTTCCTATCTCAGTCTCTTCTGAATTTTTCAGCTTATCTGTTGGTTCTCAGGGGCAAGATGACAGGTGTTTTTTCTCCCCTCTATCTCAGCATAATCTTACTGGTATTAACATTAAAATACCTAATAATAGACTGCCTGAATAGATTAGCTCCTTTTATAACTTTCATCATTCTAAGGGAAAACTTTCTGTGAGTTATTTGGGGTTTTGAATGTATAATACCGTCATTAAAATAGGTTTTTATTTTCCTCCCATTGACAGTAAAGCTGTCACTGCGTCAAGATTTGAGCTAAAAAAGAAAAAATGATAGATTTTCTACTTCTTTGTCAGTCCCGCTAAAAGAGAAAGAAACATCTTGACAGCTTTTAATTGAATCAGAGAACTTGAGATAATTGGGCTTCGGGAGCAGCATTCACCGGGTGAGGCCTTTTTCCAGCAGCACAAAGCTGGAAGTTTCACGGGTTCTTCTTCGCTGTGTTGTTGTAAGCATTTAGCGCTCATATTCTCAGCAGGATGTCGGTTGAGATAACCAGGCTCTGAGCCTGTAGAGTTGACCAATTTCGATTGCTCAGTGCCTTTCATAAAATCCTATAGTGAGTGAGAATACAAAGGTCTGACCCTGTGAAGGGTATTAAGTGCTCAAGGGTTCAGAAGAGTACCAGGAGCATGAAGACCTGGTTGGGGTGTTGGCAGCAACCGGATGGGACGCTTTAGTAGGGCGTGGGAAAGTCCGACCTGCAGAGACAGGTTCTAGGGCATCCTGTCTGAGCTCTCCTCCTGGCAAGAGTATCTTGACAGGGCCGCAGGTGATTCACCAAGGTGTGTGGGGTGCCCAGCCCTGTCAACGAAGGCATGAAAAGTATAAAAGAGACTGTTTAACCTTTGAGGGAGATTTCTGTTTTCTAAGGAGGAAGTAGCAAAAAGTAGGACCACAGAATATTGTGTATTGTAGCAGTCCTGGGACAGTTGGTGCTCAGTAAATCCCACACAAAACAGTGTCATCTGTCTTAGTTATACATTTTAATATTGAAGATGCACTAAGAGTGCTAGACCGCTTCCTCGCTAACAAAATGACTTAAATTGCAAAAGAAATGACTGTTTATTGAGTTTATATCATATAGCAGGCTTTGTGCCAGGAACATCCTTTACTGTCTGTTCCTTATAAAAACCCAGTAAAGTATAGATACCAGTATTTCCAATTTCTAGAGAGGAAACAGGCTCAAAGAATTCAGACTTGCAAAGTCAAATATAGCTGGTCTTGGGGTCCCTGGGGAGGGCCGTCTGATCCAGGGTTCACACGTTGGATCACTCTGCAGTATGTGAAATTTATCCAAACTTTAGAAGAAGCAAAGGACTCTTTACAAAGATGAGCATTTCTGGCAGCTGGTCAAGAGCAGAAACAATCGGCAACTTGGACTTTCTTGTGATGAAGTCATGCGAGCCAAGCAACTGTTCTCTTTTGGAGCTTACTGTGTACATATCATGTACTTGGCAAATATTTTTCTCCTCAGTGTTGTTTCTATCCTGTGTTCAGGCTATAGGCATAACGTAAGTCCCTTCCTTTTATATTTATTAGGATTAGTGTAGATTGGTAGTGCTATCTACTTTTCCTCGGGGGAATTCAAGGTACATTCTCAGCTGGTACATAAAGAAACAGAGCTCTGCGTGCCATTTAGTCTGGACTAAAGTATCTTGAGGAAGTGGTCCCCAGACAGTGTTTAATGGACGGATTTCCACAGCACACTTGTTCTAGCTGATGAGTGGATTGTGTTCTGGTGTCCTGTTGCTGACCAGACTGACCACTCTCAAAATATTAACGGACAATCCAGCAGCCAGAAGTTCTATCAGGCCCTGTTAGTGTTCACGGAAGAGTGCCCGGAGACGCTGACCATTCCTGATGATTTTGTGTGTCATGTCATAGAGAGGCTGTTGCAAGTCTTTTTCCTCCTCACATTTAAAACACAACACAGTAGACCTTTAAATGTTTGCCAGGAACCAGGAGTATCATTGGAGTCTTGAGTAATCTGTTGAACTTTTCAAGCTTGCATCCTTAAGGTTACAGTGTGAAAATTTAGGATCTGAGCAGCAGGCTGCAGTTGCTGACCATCCAGGCTAGGGAAGGGCAGCCAAGGAGCTTTTTAATTCCTCAATTAAAATGTGGCTGACAGCCTCAGTGTGGCCCCTGTGCTGTGCGGTGGGCCGTCCGCAGCCCAGTCCCTATCGCCCCCCCGGCGGCCTTCCACCCAGGGAAGCTCCGCCTTCTTGATGTAGGAAACCACCCCTTCACCAGGCCCTCTGGACTATCTCCTAGTTAAATACGTTTGTATAGCACCCACAGGATCTTTCTCTCTCCAGATTTCCACTCTAGGAAATGATAATGATGGCAGATTTCCAGTGTTTGAGATTCTGTTCTGGATTCACCTGAGGGCAGACATGTCTTCCCTCACAGAATCTCTCCCTTTCAGCTCTGGAGAGAAGAAAGGTAAAGAAACCCAAATGGTCACCTTTTGTGTTGACCACTTTTTAATTTCTTTTGTCGTTTTGTTAATAAAGATAACATACTCACATGAAAATCTTTAAAATGAAGAAAAACAGAAGAAAATTAAACCCCATTTTTGCCTGATACTCTATTAACAAGTGTTTCTACTCTGCCTGTCATTTTTTTTGAAAGATTTATTTATTTATTTGAGAGAGTGAGAATGAGAGAGAGAGAGAGTACATGAGAGGGGGGAGGGTTAGAGGGAGAAGCAGGCTCCTCGCTGAGCAGGGAGCCCGATGCGGGACTCGATCCCGGGACTCCAGGATCATGACCTGAGCCGAAGGCAGTCGCTTAACCAACTGAGCCACCCAGGCGCCCATGCCTGTCATTTTTATACACAGTTGGCATCATACTTCATAGACAATTTGGTATCCTGTTCTTTCCCCAGTAAACAAAAAATCCTGGTTATATTTGTACTATCAGCATAATATTTTATATTAAAATTTTGTTGGATTTTTAAACAACGTTCCTAATATCTTTTGCAGTGTCAGCTTTATTAAGATAGAGTTTATGTACAATAAGTCATTGCTTTTAGGTGTATAATTCGATGATGTGTATACAGCCATATAACCACATTGTGATCAATAGAGAGAATAGTTGTAGGGGCATCTGGGTGGCTCAGTCGGTTAAGCTTCTGACTCTTGATTTCGGCTCAGGTGATGATCTCAGGGTCCTGGGATCTAGCCCCCCCTGCACTCAGCAGGGAGTCTGCTTGATATTTTCTCTCCCCCTCTCTCTGCCCTTCCCCTAAAAATAAATAAATAATCTTTTAAAAAAAAGAGAGAATAGTTGTATCATTCCAGAAGATTCCCTCATGCCTCATCCCTCCTCCCACCCCTAGAACCTGGCAACCACTGATGTGCTTCTTTCTTAATACGTTTGAGATTGATTTTGCGATTGCACATACCAGTGGTTCATTCCTTCTTATTGCTGAGTAGTATTCTGTCTTATGGACATATTGCTGTTTTGCCAGTTGGCATTTAGGTTGTTGTTACTACTTTTTAGCAACTAAGAATCAAACTGCTATAAACATTCGCCAATAGGTTTTTATAGGAACTAAGTTTTCGTTTCTTTGGGGTAAATACTTAAGAGTGGAATTGCTGGGTCATATGGTAAGTGCATGTTTCACCCTCTAAGAAACTGGCACAGCATTTTCCAGAGTGGCTGCGCCATTGTGCGTTCCTGGTGTCGTCCAGTGAGGCTTCCAGTGGTTCTGCGTCTTCACCGGTACTGATCCAGTCCTTGGTAGCCATTCCAGTGGGCCTGTTAGTAGTGCCTCGTATGGCTTTAACTTGAATTTCCCTAAGGACTAATGACGCCGAGCATCCTTTATGTGATTATTTCCCATCCAGATCTCTTCTTTGGCGGAATGTCTTTTCAAATATTTTGCCCATTTTTTTCATTGGGTTGTTTGTTTTCTTCTCCTTGAGTTTTGAGAGTTTTTTGTATATTCTGGATACAAGTCCTTTTGGGTGTTTTGCACATTCTTCCAGATTCTGCTTTTCTTTTCTTTCTTTTTTTTTTTTAAAGATTTTATTTATTTATTTTGAGAGAGAGAGAGGGGGAGACAGTGAGAGAGGGAACACAAGCGGGGGGTTGGGAGAAGGAGAAGCAGGCTTCCCACTGAGCAGGGAGCCTGATGCGGGGCTTGATCCCAGGACCCTGGGATCATGATCTGAGCCGGAGGCAGACGCTTAACCACTTGAGCCACCCAGGCGCCCCTCTCCTGTGTTTTCTTCTAGAAGTTTTGTGGTTTTAGGTTTTACATTTAGATGTATAGTCCATTTTGAGTTAATTTTCGCATATGGTGCAACGTATGCATTGAGATCCATCCTAACAGGAAGCAGACGTCCTGAAATATTTGTTTAAAAAGAGAATTGTTCCAGAATAATTCTTTGCGCTCAGGTAAAACAGGGCTGTGAAAATGAGCTCCCTGGAACTCTGACCTAGCTCCTTATCCCCTAGCTTTGAGACTGATCCTTCAATCTACAGCACTCCCTTTCCGGAAAGTGCTAGAAAGAACACTACCAGTGACCTCCAGCCCCCTCTGGTCTAAGTCTCCTTTAGATAATTCCTACAGTTCTGGTTCCTCTGGACACATCATTGTTGCTCAGCAGCTGCACATTTTAGGCAGTGAAAACTAGGATCTTCTTGACTGCAGGCTGTCAGCTTCCTGGGGAACAACCATGTTCAGTGTTGGGCCACCTTCCTGATAGGGGGATGTACATGAAAAACTTGCTTTACCACGGTGGGCGTGTGCAGCAGAAATTAGTATTCAGCGGCTAGATGAGCCAGGGAGCGTTGTTCAGAGCCATACAGCCAGTCAAACGGCCCGGCCAGGCTTGCTCAGGCAAAGCTTTTGCTTATTCCACTATTTCTCACCAGCTCTTCACCGAGTCACTTCCTGTGTGTCTGTTGGCCTGCTGCCACCGCCACACACAGCCCCATCCAGCCAACAGCAGGTGCTATTAGAAGTATGGCAGCGTAGTTGCTTTCAGCCAGTTAGCTTTTTTGTTTGATTTCCCTCACGGCGAGTTTGAGTTTATTTCAGTTCCCCACACTCAGCATGTGGCTTTTACCTTTAATATGGCTAATTGGTGGGGCATCTGGGTGGTTCAGGCTTCGGCTCAGGTCATGGTCCCGGGGTCCCGGGATCGAGCCGCACGTTGGGGGGGTCCACGCTCAGCAGGGAGCTTGCTTCTCCCTCTCCCTCTGCCCTCCGCCCCTCCACTCATGCTCTCTTTCTCTCAAAAAATTAAAAGTAAAATCTTAAAAAAAAAAAACTTAAAAATGGCTTATTGGCTGCTGTGATGTTTCTCTGATACGTGTATTATAAAAATGCCCTTCTGGATGTTTCTTTTCCTCCCTACAATTGGGTATTGTATGAATGTGTGTGATTGAGAAGGTCAGGCTAGTGATGTCTCTTCACGGCCCAGCTGCAGCATTTCCTTGTTCTGGGGAGGGGGGCTGTGGAAGAGAGTGTGTGTGTGTGTGTGTGTGTGTGTTCTGGGGAGGGGAGTGAGTGTGTGTGTGTTTGTGTGTGTGTGTTGATCTTTAATAACCTAACTGGACCCTGGGCGTCTGTCACGGGGAGCACCTCCTGCCCATCTTCACTTCTCAGGAGTGGCATCACAGTCTTTGCCGGGAGTGCCGACACAGCGATGAGACCCAGGGCGGGAGCCGCCCAAGTATCCCTCTCCCAGTCTTCTCATCCTCTCCGTCTGGACTTCATCTCAGTAAATGATCACCAGTGGGGGAATTCTCGTGTTGGCTGAAATCCCGTGTTATTTCATGTGTTCAGACCTAGTTATCTTTAGACATTCCTGCCGTTGAGGTGGCCGCTCTGAGCTGAGTGATTTCCTACTTTGCAGGAACTTGCGCCTCCTCCGGTTTTAAAAAAGTTACCATTTTAGGCAGCGGCCGCGCCCTCTCCCCTTTTGGAATCTTGGAGTGTTAGCAGCTGGGGTTAGCTTTGCCGGTTTTCCCTGCCAACCCGGCTTGAGTCACGCATGCCACCACCAATGCAGGAGCGCCTGGTCTCTCACGCTTTCCATCATGGCCACGCTCTTCCCTGACTTAGTTCCCCTTCACTCGGCTCGGGACACGGCTGCTCCGGGACACAGCTGGTCCAGGCCCCGACCCGACTGTTGCCACGGCCGTTAGAGAGAGTGGCGTGAACCAGAGAAGGGCTTCCAGCTTCTGGGCGAAACTGTTTGTATCCGAAGAGGCCTGTCAGCACTTAGCCAGTGTTGCTGAACTCTGAAACGGCTGCATGCTTCTACTTGGGCCCCTTTGGGGGTGGGGTGGGGTGGGGAGGGTGTCTCTCTGGTCAACCCCCGCTGGTCAGCTTCTCTAAAAAAGCCACCAGCCTATTGGGTTTCTCTTCTGGGTGCTGGTACAGAGCTCCCAGCACAGAGAAACCTGGTGTCGTGGGACGCGACAGGCTCTGGATGCTGTGGAAGGATCCAGTTCCACTTCAGCCACGTGCTGCCCATGTGAGATGGGTCACTTTACCTGGCCGCCCTGAGCCTGTTCTTGCATCTTGATACCACTATGCTGGGTTCTTTCTTTTAATTAGTTTATGAATTTGAGAGAGAGAGCGAGCGAGCACAAGTGGGAGGGGCGGGGAAAGGGAGAGAGACTCTGAGGCAGACTGTGTGCTGAGCGTGGAGCCGAATGTGGGGCTCGATCTCCCGACCCTGAGCCGAGAACAAGAGTCGGATGTGTAACTGACCGTACCTCCCCAGGCGCCCCACACCGTGCTGGGCTTTTATGAAGATTAAATGAACTGAGGGACACCTGGCTGGCTCAATCGGTGAAGCATGTGACTCTTGATCTTGGGGTCGTGAGTTCAAGCCCCACGTTGGGCATAGAGCTTTCTTAACTAAAAACAAACGAACAAACAAAAAAGGATGAACTGAACGGAGTGCCCAGTGTGGTGGCTAGCAAAGGATACGGTGTGTGCCCCCCGAGAGAGAGATGCGCGCATCCACATTTTAACCCCTGTGAAGTAAACAGAGGCGTCCAAGCAGGGAGGCAGGTCACTGATCCTCCGTGGGGCGTTTCGGTGGGGTCGCCCCCGTCTGCTGGGCCCTGCTGCCCGTGGACAGGGCCCGTCTGTGGACATGCTCTGCCCAGCCCGGCCTTGTCTGCGGTGGGCACGCTGGTTGCTCAGTCCCCCGGGTGCTGTCCTCTCCTTGTTCACCGCGTTTTGTTTTGTCCACCCCCCCACCCCCAGGAGGCATCCCCGACAGCCCTGCCAAGCTCTTCGAGGTCCCCGACACGTGGTAACCGAGGCCTGAGGGAAACACGTCGCTGGTGCTGTGGCTGAGGCAGAAGCAGCCGGCACATTCGGAAGCCATACTGTATTTAATTTAATAAAATGTGGTATGGGAGGTGTTGGAAACCAAGTGTGTGTCCTGGGGGGAAAAAAACCACCACCGCCACCCAGTTTTTATTTTTGTGGCTGAGTCTCTTTTCTTCCCTTTTAATGTAAACTGCTGCTGCTCAGCACGGTTGTAGGGGTTGTGAATGTGCACACTATTAACCGGCTGATCACTTGTTGCTTCCGTGCAGCCCTTCCTGTCGTGTATTTTTGCGTGTTTCAGAATCCACCTGGCAGGGAACGTGGGCTGTGAGCCCAGCAAACCGCCGACGTTCTCGGGCGCCGTGATCATGAGTTTGGGGTTGAAGTCTCTCCCGCTCCGAGGGGTTCTCTTCGGATTCGGGGGCCTCCGTGGCCTGCGGCTCGTCTCCCGATGGCTTGGAGAGCCCACTCGCGTCTGCCTGCTTCCCGCTGCAGCTTCCTGAAAATACGGAGCGCTCAAGCCTGTGTTTCCAGGAGGAAACGGTCTCCCACTGTCCACCTGTGAAGGAGCTTCACCTCGCTTCTGCCTTGGCCTTGGGGCCGTATTTACTTAGCGTCGTTTTTCCCCAAGATGTGAGTTTCTCACGGCGGACTGTACGAGTACGAAAAGTTATCTTCTGTTTTTACACATAGTGCTGTGCCCCCTTCCTGTCTGAGTGTGTGTCTGGGGGTGAGGTGGCACGTGCAACCACAAAGGATGCGTACCAGCCCTTTTTCTGTTGACACCGATCCCAACAGCGACAGAATTTCACGGATCTGCTTTCAGGAGATCTGCTTCATAGAGATCATTGTTAGATATTGAACATTTTTTTGTATCATGGATCAATAAAAAATGAAACATGTATTTCCAAAAGATGAAAATTAAAGGAATTTTCATAGGATTTGGGTTTTTTTTTCCTTTTTCTTTTTTTGTAAGTGAATGACGTGTTTGATCTTTACATAGATACGTTTCTCTCGAAAGATTGCCCCTAAAAAGCTCTGATAAGTCACGAAGCCTGGTGTTTATGGATTTTCCTTTCTTCTTCTTTTTTTAACCTCTGACCCCTATACCTGCGTGAATGAGTCAGATGCTCAGAGCTGGAGTTGAGCCCCGTGGAAAATGGCTGCGTAGGAGGAGGGTCTGCATCTCTATCATGGTGGGTGGAATGGAGCCCTTTGGAATCCGTGGTGGCATGGGAATTCAGATGAGTGAGACACTCACTTTTCCCAGTTATGGGCCTCTGACCACTTCCCTTCCTCCCCCTGGCCAAGCAGTCTGTGGCAGAGTTACAAAGCCAAACCCATCGGGAACGAGCTCCCACCCCTTCCAGAGCTGTCCCTGCTCACAGCTCCGTGGGGTGGTGCGCAGGGAGGTGGAGACAGACAGACAAAGGCTGGGGGTTACAGGGCATTGCTGGACGGTGCTGAGTCAACTGAAACCTACGGGTAGACACGGGGGCACTGCACCCTGCATGGAGACGCGGAGCCTCTGGTGTTCCACCACCTTCTGTGTGGTGCAGGGCTGCAGTGGGAGAGGGGTGGGGCCTCTTGGCCTAAGGGAATGAGATTCCACATTGTCCCCTGAAGCCCAATTCTCCCTGCTCAGAAAGCTTTATAGACACACACGGGTTGCACCCCTTTGTCTCCTGGTCCAGGGAAGGGCTCAGGGGGAGGAGGACTTTTGGAAAGGAGGCTTCTTGGCATCCCAGCTCCAGCTGGGGGTTCTCGGACACATCATTTACCCTCTCCGAGCCTCCGTTTCCTCAGTCATGAAACCAGGACGATAAACCTGCCCCATAGGGTGGTTGCAAGGACTAAACGAGATCACATAAAATGCCCAGCATACATGAGCGCCCAATAAATTGCAGTTATAGTTGAAGATTACCCTTTTGATCTGAAACCCCGTTTGTACCTTCTTTTGTCAACTGGAGCTGATACAGGCATAGTCACGTGGGATTGGGCTTAGAATTAATTACCCGGGGGACCCCTCATCTGCGTCCACACGCCTATTTTCTTCCCAACTGGATCAAATGACTTAAAACAGTTAAAGTGGGTTGGCTGTCAACCCTCTCCGCACATACACGCAGGCTTTCTTGACGTCTCTTTGGGCACAAAACCCTAGAATGGTGCTTTGACTTTTTGATACAGAGGCCCAGGGGCATATGTTGATGATGGGGCTGTGGGGACCTTGGTGTTTCCCTGCAAATTGTTCTGTTGTCCTCTGATTTCAGAGCTGGGGTGGAGACTGAGTGCTGTGCTCTGTCCTTTTTTATAGCTTTGTATTCACCAACGCCCCCAACATTTTATTGTGAAAAATTTCAAACATGCAGAGGAGTTGTAAGAATTGTTCAGTGAACAGTGAACACCCATTTACCAGCCCCCCCAGATTGCCTAGCCCCCATTTTGCTATAGTTGCATTATTACATAACCAGCCATCCCTCCATCCATCAATTCAGCCTACCTTGTGATATATTTCTAAGGAAGTCGTAAACACGGGTGTACTCCCTGTACCACATACTTCAGCATTTGTGTCATTAGCCAGAGTTTAATATTAGTTTATCAATGGGGGTCCATGGGGATAAAATTTATATTGAAATGCTTAAATCTTAAATGTACCAATTGAGAAGTTCTGACAAATGCAAACTGAACTGTCAAGATGCAGAACATCACCATCACCCCCAGAATATTCTCTTCTGCCTCTTCGCAGTCAACCCTAACCCCACTGCCACCCCACCCCTCAGAGGCAACCACCAGCCTGCATGTTTTTCACCACAGATCAGTTTGACTTGTTCTAGAACTTCATGGAAATAGAATCATGAAGTGCATGCTCTCTGGTGAGGCCTCTCTCTCAGCATGATGTTTTTGAGATTCATGCTGTTGTGTGTGTCGGAAGTTCTCTTTTTTTTTGGTGGCCCAGCGTGCATATATCACAGTCAGTTTATCCATTCTCCCAACTGATGGACACTTGGGCTGTTCCCAGTTTGGGGCTACTGTGAATAAACCTGCTGGGGACGTTCTAGAAATTCCCAGGTCTTTTTCGAAAGTGGTCATACCATTTACACTCTCACCAGCAACGTAGGAGAATTCCAGTAGCTCCCATCCTTGGCAATATTTGGTGTCATCTGTCTTTAGCCGCCTGTCCTGGTGGGTATATAATGTATCTCATTGCAGCTTTCCTTTGCATTTCTGTGACGATGGATGATGATACGCTTATTGGCCGTTTGTATATGTTCCTCTCTGAATTACCTGTTCAGTTCTCTTGCCTGTATTTTCTTGGGTTGTGTCTCTGTTATTATGTTGTAGATGCTCATTATATATTCACACACCTTTGTGTGATGATTACTTTGCAAACTTTTAGTCCCACTCTGACTTGCTTGTTTCTTTTTTTTTCTTCCAGCCTTCACTGAGATACGGTTAACCTGTAACGTTATGTAAGTTTAACATGTACAGTGTGTTAACCTGATACACTCATACACTGCAAAAAAATAACCACCATAGTGATAGCCAACAGGATCATCACATGATCACTTTTTTTTTTTTTTTTTTTTTTTGGTGGTGAGAACATTCAGGATCCACTCTCCCAGAAACTCGTTTATTTTCTTAACAGTATTTTTCACGGGGCAGAATTTTAGTTTTCTTTTCTTTTCCTTTTTTTTAAGATTTTATTTATTTATTTGTCAGAGAGAGATTGAGAGAGAGTGAACACAAGCAGGGGGAGTGGGAGAGGGAGAAGCAGGCTTCCTGCTGAGCAGGGAGCCCGATGCGGGGCTTGATCCCAGGACCCTGGGATCACGACCTGAGCTGAAGGCAGACGCTTAACCGACTGAGCCACCAGGCGTCCCATGAATTTTAGTTTTAATGAAGTCTATTTTGTACATTTTTTCCCTTCCTTCTTGGGACCTGTCTGTGGGGATGCCGTGCCGTATTTCTGTCCTTTCTAAGAAACCCACACGTTGTAAAGATACCCTTTCATGTTTTATGTAGAATCTTTAGAGTTCCAGGGTTTGTGAGTCAGTCTGCAATCCATGTTGAGTTAATTTTTGCATGTATGGCCTGAGGTGGAAGTTGAAGTCTCTTTATTCCACGTGGATATCCAGTTATTCCAGCACCATTTGTGAAGAAGACCTTTCCAATTGGATTGCTTTGGTGCCTTGCACAAAAATCTATTGACCTAATAACAGGGGTGGGTCTTGATGTGTATGCTTTTATTTTTTTTATTTTGTTAAAGATTTATTTATTTGTTAAGATTTATTTATTAAGCCAGCCAGGCACCCCGGTGTATGTACTTTTAAAGGGAGCTGTTACTCTGGCCGAACAGCAGCACAGAGAGGGGCTCATTCTTTCTGTGTGTGCCCTTCCCACTTGGATGTCTTGCAGCCCTTCCCTTGACACGGAGGGGAACATGCCCTGACCCTTGGCTCCTGCTGAGGCCGGGCCACTCACTCCTGACCCAGGAAACTAGTGAGTGTTAAAAATAGTGCCATCTTCTTTTTTTAATCTCACGACTTAAGTTTCATGACTTCAATTGAAATCTTTTTTTCCCCCCCAAATGATTCATGGGGTAAATTGATGCGTCTGATTTTGTCGAGGAGGGGAAATAAGATCCGTGGAGGCCAGGTCGTGTTTCCCCGGGTTGCGGGCCACCCTGTCCTCCCGAGTCATCTGGTCCCCGATGAGAGCGGTTCAGTCTGTCTTCTGCCACTTGCCTCTTGGCCCCTTTGCTTTCGGCCCGGCCGTGGACCTGGCCTTGAGAAAGCGCTTGGTGTGGCTGTGCTGCTGGAAACATTCCCAAAAGCTGAGAGGGGCGTTGAAAATGGAAATGGTTTAGACAAGACAGTCCTGTTAAAAAAGGAGGGACAATTTAAAAGAAAGAGCCTCCCTCTTTTTTTTTTTT